GTCTGTATCTTGTTCCTATCAAAAATTATTCAAAAAATAGTCACACGCACGGACTTTTTGGACGGACATTAGTAAAACATGACTATTTACGTGTTTTTGTAGGGATTCTATAAAATCAAATTTTGATACATTTGAATTAGAAGCTGGGCATTTTCTACAAAAAAAAACAATAATAAATGAAAACGATTTTAACAAAGGATTCATACTTTAACCATCCTGGACGAAGTATACGTTTAGAATCTGTTTTTGTTTGTTTTCTTGCACGAGTTGGTTCGACCCAAAAGTAATCTTCATATCGAAGCAGATTAGCTGTAACTAAACGTTTTACTGCTTCTAGACGAATATGTGGTTTGTTACATAGCATGGTTAAATCTGTCTTGGTATAAATCACAGATTTTCCACTCATGATGCTTTGCATGACTTTTTTAACTGCTTGTTCGGTTACTTTTTCATGTTTATTGGTGACTAAGTTAATCAAAGAGAAAATGACTAATTAAAGAAAAAAAATTAAAAGCTTACTTTCTGTTAAGCTTTTTTGTGTTGATATATCAGAATATTCATCTCTACCATCAACTAATTTTTCACGCGTTGTTATAGACGAATTATGAATATCACATAATAAACCATCTCCTTCAGCCATGAAAGTTTCTATAAAGAACGATAGATAAATGTAGAGAATTAATAGATTCAAGAATAATTTACCTGTTATATCAGTATCTCGTGGATCACATGATGTTTTTATTGGACTATCACGTTGTGTTTCTTGACTTTTTTCAACTGTATCATGAAAAACATTGACTATAGGTGCTGTTGTATGTCTAGATTGTACTGTTGATTTATTTGCTTGATTTATTATATTCACAGATTGGCGTTTACCATTTACTTGATTTGGTTGAGCACCTAAAACTAAACTTTCAATATGATGAAATTGACGAGAAAATGCATTTGCATTTTGAATAATAAAATTTCCTTGTTCAACTTCTCGAACAACACAATTTTCAATATGTTTTCGAATTACAATATTTAGTTGGACTTGATATTTTGAATATTCATTTACAAAACATGCACTATGTTCAAAGATTTCTAATGTTAAATTTGAAAGATTATTATTTGGTGGAATTGTAGATGATTCATAAATTGAACAATATTCATTAACATCTATGTCATGTTTCAGTAAGTTTTTGATAAATTGATCTCGTGTCGGATCATCACCTGGCGGTACTGGTGCTTTCATATAGGATTTTACATTTCAACCACGAGTATCAGTCAAAAAATAATTAAATTTGAGTAAGTGTTCATTCATTAATTCTTGAAGTGCTCGTTCACCTAACGCTGGTCTATTCTTAATTATACCTCTAGAAAAGAAATAGCATACAAATTAATCAATCGATTAAATGGAAGACTAATGTACATACGTTTTTTCTGTAACAGGATGTTTACAACTTATTGCTGATAATGGAAAAATATTGAAATCCAAATACATAATTAATTGTTTTAATGTTTTCTGTTTAGGTGAAATCGATGGTGGTGCAATCATTGATTTACTTGGAAAATGATGATCAATTGTAAATAATTTTGTAGTTATATTTAAGTGATGCTCATACCAACTCCATGCTGCTACTATAGCTTCTTTTTGAACAAATATCATCGGATCTACTATTTCTTGATTAACTTCTGTACGTGGTAAATATGTTTTGTCATATTTATGATAATCTTTTTTTATTATCATATCTACATTCCTCACGAAATCCTCATTGATGATCAAATCCTGATTATCACCTTCAGCAAACACAACAAAATCTTTAACACGTTCAAGTATTGCCATAGCATTAATATACAGTTGCATTAAGCATGCTAATCTAGGAAAGGTTGTACTAGTTTTACCATAGAAACCCGTAATTTGTTGCTGTTGATTTTGCATCTGATCTTGCGTTTCAATCAAATCAGCAACTAAATTCCATAATGTGAACATGGCAGAACGAGGTTGTTGTGTTTGTTGATCTTCAACTTGTGGTGTTAATGGTTTATCAAATGATACTGTAAGTAAGTAAATCAAAACTTAGAAAACCTTAAAATCTATTACAAAGTTTTTGATCTAAATACCACCGCAAAATTTTGTACGTTCAGCTTCTGACATTTCAAAAACGAATCGTACAGTACCAAATAAATGAATGATCACAGATAGATGAGCAAAAGTTGGATTGTTTTTAGAATTCATGTTTACCTGAAAACTAAAAATAACAAATCTAAATCGGGGCATCTATCACCATCTAATGATGGTTTTACTCTTGGGGTCTTGAATAAGCCAATTTGGGAATGCTCATGTATAAAAATCTGTTGTGAGACCCGTCAAATCCAGTAGAATTTATCCAATTTTTCATGTTTTTAAATAGTTTACCACCAGTAGTGGCAATGGCAATTGTCAATCTCTTGTCGCCAATCTGTATAATTGTTGTTCCTGTTGTTCTTGCTGAATTACTAAATCTAACAACAGTGACATATAATCAATATCTTTCTGTTCTAATCTTTTTTTACCCATCATATCCACAAAGTATGATATTTCGTTCATGTTCTTTCGTATAGTCATTTACGTTATACAACCCATAAGTCTCAGCAATAAGATCCGCATCATCGTTTAACAATATTTTATTATTGGAAGAAAGATGCTGTCTCAATCCAATATGGTTGGTATGGGTAATGATGGATGATAAATCCGATTCGGTTAGTTTACCGTTCACCATAACAGGTTTCAGGTATGTTGATGGAAACATTTTTTCAGTTTTTGTAATAGCTTTTTCAACTTGTCTGAATGCATGTGTTTTGCCACTTCCTTGAAAATCAGAAAAGAAGGTATGATCGAAGGAAGAAGGAAGAAACAGGTAAAATTAAAAACAACATATGATAAGAAAATCTTTGTATGATATACGCAACTATACAACTCAATATTCTCAACCATATGAAAAGCCTTTATTTAATGAAATGTCAGGATATTACAAAGCTAAACTAATATTTATTTTCTTTCAACAAATTAACGTTTGTACAATAAAACAAACGAACAAAAATTAATCCTGTACATCGAAGTTTTTAAAAAATCTTACAGTAAAGAATGAATAATTATTCATCAATCTCGTTCATTTTTTTTTAATATTTTCGATCGTTCACGTTTAGTATGATCTAGACTTATTGATGAAACTATATATTATAAAGAATACATGGGATAAATAACATTTTATATGTATGTTATAGAGAGATTTACATATATCTTTTTTTTCCTCTAGATGTCGTACAGAGAACCAATACGAGATATATATATATCATATGTATTGTTTTTTTTTCCTTTCTTCCATCTTTATCTATTTTTCAATCGTTTTGATTGATTTTATGCAAATATTTTCTCTTTAATGTTGTTTTCCTAACTCGTCTCCTATGTATTACGAACATTTTGGAAAAGAATTATCTTCTTGATCCTCGACCTGTTAAATCAATTGATTCGTATATACTGTGCTTTCTTACGTTTTGAAATTATGGCAACATCATTACCACGCAACAAATTTGCATTATACAAATAGATGCTCATTTACTCCTACGTATTTCTACATTTCATGCTATCAAAAACGAAAAAAAAGGCTATATTAAAAGTGCTCTATTAGAAAAAAAATGCAACCTCTTCAAAGAATATTTGCACATACCACTAGAACCTAGCAACCATAAGTACAATTGTACTGGACGATGGTCGGGACTGGCATAATGAGTATAATAGGAACCTTGAGAAAAATGTGACATAGTTGCTAATGATAGAAAAAAAGATAAACAAGGTTCATAATTATATGTATCCTTATAGGTCGTCAATAATCGCGTTTGTTCTGAATTTAGAATGTTGGACATTTGAATGTTCATTTGTGATGCTGCTGCTATGTTTTTTAGAATCATTTCTGAAATTGTTTTATCATCCATAATGGGTGAACGTTTCGACATTTTCAATTATGAAAATAAAATAATTATTTGTATCTATAATCTCAAGAAAAATATTTTAACTTAAAAATATGAAATTTGATAAACTGTTTGTTTTCTTTGGATTTATTAAAATACAGTTCTATTCCATAGAACTAATAAATTTAAATTTAATAGATAAAGACGATAGAATCTGTTTACTTAACTAATATATTAATTGCATGATCGTTGATCGATTTGATGACAATAATTTTTATTTAAAAGATGTGATACTTAGTGTGAATTTAATACTACTTTATATAGTAGTGAAAACAAAGATTACATATCACATATCAAACACGACGATGAATGATATCCGATCCAGATAGAAGAGATTATAACTTGATGCCCTGGATCAGCTGATATACATATGTTAAAATTTTTTTTTTTTCTTTTCTGTTTTCAGCTCTGAATGTCCTTGATCTGCT